GGGCTGTTCTGCAGCTCAGGGCATCAGATGGGGGAGCGAAAGGCCCAAGGTACAACAAGCTAGCACAAAGAGCTGTTCATGGCAACGTCTTTGCCTACCTGCAGACAGCACTCAATAATACATCAATACAGGTTTGTGGAAAAGCATAGGGTTGTCATTAAGATGCTTAATGACTGGGAAGACTGTTTCGTGTGTATGTATATGCATGCAGCTGTTTAATTTAGGTAATATATCTCTTCATTTATCTACTTGTTTATTTCTATCAATGTGTGTACAGTATGTGTAGATACTCAATAAGTTTATGTATGTGTATGTGTGATATTTATTATAATGCAAATATCAATACAAAAAAATCTTGGCGAGAATTTCCTCTTGTAGATAAGGTACATTTTTTGTATACAAATGCTTTCCACCAGGGAGATGAACTGCTAGTGCGACTCGCATCCTCGGTCGTGTACTCCCTCATGTGTGCCGCGGCGGGATGCCTGGACCTAGAGCGAATGGGATGTCTTTCTGTCCTTAATACGCTGGCCAAGAGGTGCCTTGCTCAAGACCCTCCAGCACAGCTATTTTGGGCTGAGGAAGGTGAGATTGTCCTTATTATTTGCATGCTCTTACTAGTTAGAAGTGAATAGAGGTGTTCTTGTCAGCATTTCCATCAATGTATATTGTTTTAATTATTTTCGTTAGTATTAATATTATCGTTGTAGTCGTCATCGTCATCGTTGTCGTCATCATCATCATCATCATCATCATCATTATCATCATTGTGAACATCATTATTGTCATCATCATCATCATCATCATCATTATCATTATCATTATTGATGGCAGCTTACATGCCTGACCTAGTGCTGAACTTTACTGACATGAGTGGGTTGAGGTTGTAGTGTACACACATGCACACACATGCACATACACATACACATATACATGCACATAAGTATGTATATATACATATACACATGCATAACATATACACACATGCAAAATGTACTCATATGCATAACATATACACACATGCAAAATGTACTCATATGCATAACATATACATATGCTGAAGTATTACTATATTTCTTTGTTTATTTTTTGAAGGTGGTGGAGCTGGACTGTTACTGCCGCAGGCAATAGAGGTGTTCCCCTACGATGTTCAGCCCTTGCTGTCCCTCATGAGTGCTCTAGCTGTTGCTAATACAGAGAGCTGCCAGAAGGTATGGCTTCCTGCTGAAGTTTTGGCACTCCTTTTTAGTAATGATCATATTTTCCATATTGAGAGGTACATGTACAAACATCTGATATATATATGTGTGTTGGGGGAAGGGCAGAGAAAATATATCCTAGAAAATAAATAATTCCAAAGAAATGAGATAAGTAAGATGCTCTCTCATCCTCAAAGTAAATACATCAGCTTTTTCTTCTATTTTTCAGGTAATAGAACTCCTGACAGAGCTGCCAAACCTATCCTGGGTGCTGACACAAAGTGACCTCAGGAGCATTCAGATCAGGGGCAACGACTGTGTAACCACAGCTCCCCTGCAGGTCCTTCCATCATTGACCATTGCAGCAGACACACGTGGCACCCTGATCTCCACAAACCCACCTGTTGTAACCTGGCAGACACCCACAAATGCATGGCAAGCTCTTTTGGGGGTCATGAAACTTCTTGATGAAGAGGTGAGAGTGTGTAATAATTATTATTATATTATTGGTATTTTTATATATTTATTATTATTTTTGTGATGCAGCTGTTTCTTAATGTCTGCTTGGGATGGCATAAGCAAACAGGCAAGCAGAATAACAAAAAACTGCTCAACAAAACACTTTTCCTTTAATGTGAGAGAAATTCTTCTGCCAGGTAAGTGGAGGGGCAAGCATTCCTGACCAGAAGCTCATGGAGACAGTATCAGCTACGCTACGCCTTCTGGCTTCCCTCTTGACCACACTCCCTGATCATCTGCCTGCGTTCGTCCACTTCATCCAGCAGACAATAGTGCTGTTACGCAGGTATGATTTGTATTGTTGTCCTGTCTGATCTAATGAATTCTTAATTTCTCGTATTGTTATTATTATCTCATGTTCTGTTATGATTGTCACTAATGTCATCTTTTGCAGAATATCCCAAGTCAGTCGGCCACCAGGACAGCTGGTAGCAACGCTCATGGAGTTTCTGACGGAGGTTTCAACACAGGACCCTAAGTTGGTGTGGAATGAACTTGAGAGCTGCCCTCTCCTGCCCTTCCTTGCTGCCCCACACAAATATGGTGGGTTGTCTGCTTTGTATCTGTTAAAATATTGATGCTCTGCCATAGATAAATTGTTTCTAGTTTGCACTATGATAATTTTGATTATAATAGCTGAGCTTAAAGCTTTTCCATTTGTCATAAACTGTAATAGAAAAACACATAAAAAGAAAAATTGTATTTTAACCATACAACATCACATTCACAGGAGCAAAGAAAGGGAAAGTAGACCCCTTCCTTGGGTACCGTGCTGGTGCCCTCAGAGCCCTAGTCTGCGGTGAAGAGGCAGCGACTGGGAAATACCCCATCCTAAACTCCTACACACGCTTATTGATCTGTGGTGTTAAGGTAATAGGATGTTCTTGTATTTGTTTTACTAATGCATACAGGATCAGTTAGTCGTTTTATTTCACCATGTTTTGATTCTGTGATATTTCCCAAGTCTCGGTTTGTTGTTGAATTGATGTCAAAAAGGTTTACTTCATTTGATAATGTATATATTTTTTGCTTTTGGCCATTGCAGAATTTCTTTTTAAATCTATTCACAAATATCAAGTAAGGTTTTATGCACAATCTGAAAGATTATTGTAACTGATGGAACCATTTCTGTACTTTGCTGCTTTGTTTCCTTCAGGATGGCTTCAGCAGTGGGAGTGTAAATGGGGGTGTGGTGTTTGTAGCAAGGGAGGTGACAGGAGCCTTGCTAAGATGGTGCTACAGTTCCCAAGAAGAGAGAGACACTGTCCTCAATCACTGCCTGGCCCTTCTTCACCACACCCTAGAGGCTTCAGACATAGGTAAGTTTGACCTTGGGATGCAATAAAGGCCTCCTTCTTTTAAGGTCTGTTATTGCTAGTGTGTCCTTTTTTGGATTTTGCTTGTCTGTTGGGATAGCAGAAAGGAAGGCCTATGAGGAAGAATAGTTATTGGGTTAGAAGGGGCACAGCATTGAAGGTGATACAACTTGAAAACACCACTTACCCTACACACAGATACCAGTGTTCGTGACTTGGTGGTCAAACAATTGGTGGATAGTAGCAGTGCTGGGCAGACTCTGCTGTCAGTGGTAGTTGGTGGGGCTAACCTGGAGACAGCCATTAACCACCCAATGCACTCGCCCATATCCACCCATGCGCATAGACTCACACGAACAGCCCAAATGGCTCTTTCCATCCTGCACAGGTAAATCTTTTAGTTCTCCTTTTGGTTCCTTGCAAATAAACTTAGTGTTTAGAGAGTGGATATGCCATGATTTCATGTGAAATATTAATAGACATACATAAATTATTATGATGTTAAATGGACTGAGTTGAAATAGTGTGAAATGATTTGTCTTGAAAATTAAGTTAATCAGGGAAAGCCAGTATTATTATATTATTACTATTATCAATAGTATTATAAATAAAGTTGCTTTAATGTATACTTTCCAGGCTTGTAGGTGAAGACACCAGCATGGACGGACTAAATCAGCTTCTCCGTGCAGCTCCAACCCCCAATACACCTCTGAGCGGAGGACGCCTGCATGGTAGCACCTCCCCCCATTTGGCTTTGACTGTTGCTTTGTATGCACATCAAAGGCTTAATCCACGTCTCTCTTACCTTGCTCTGCGAACGCTCACCAGGTTTGCTCAGGTAAGATGGCTTAGGAGTGGGACAAAGTTGCTGTTATGGAAGTATGTAGTTTGGTCATATTGAGTGATGTCAAAAATGTTTGAAAGGGTATGGAGTCATCAATATTTCAAACACGGCTCTGTTTAGCATGCAGTGAGGCAGTAACACAGGAAAGCCATACCTTTCATCCCCATCTCCAAATGTGCAGTTAATTGTAAATAATTTTCATGTGGAACCATCCTCATAATTTTTGTCTACTCTGATCTATTCCAGAAACTCAATGTGCCATTAGTTGCTTGTCTGGGTGGAGAAGCTGAAGGGATTCGAGATGCTCTTCTGCGCAGATTAGACTCTGCAACGGAAGACGTGCGTGTGAAAGTTGCTCTCCTGCGTCTCCTAACAGCATCTACCACCGGCCAGGGCTAACAACGCCTTCCTTACACCTCCCGAGAAACTCTCTCATCTCTTCTCCAATAAGATCCTCTTACATCACTTTTCAATCCTTCTGTAAGTAAAGGAGATATATTTATACACTGTAGTAGCTTGCTGTAGGTTTTTTGTCAGCTGTGTTGTGTACACTGTTTTTTATGCAAGACTTTAAATCATACATCCTATTTTGAAGCCTTTTAGACATTGATGCCATACTTGATTTTCAAAGTTTCTGTTGTATACATTTGTTTATGGAATTTGGTTTTTTTTTCTGATTTTACTAGACCTCTACATCATCGGGAAGAGAGTTAGGCTTGGCAGTTGTGGAACTCGTAGATGCTCTCTGGAGTGAGAAATACACCACTGCAACAACTTACCTGCAAGATAAATCAGACTTCTGGCAGGCACTGGTTCAGCCCCTCACAAAGGAGAAGACAAGTATGCAGAAAGCTCTTTATGGATGTTTTTTTTTTTTTTTCCATTATGGCCATGCCTGGGGTTTGAAGCACAAACTTAATATGCCTTTGTGTAAACTTTTTTTTCTCTCTCTCTCTCTTTCTTTTTTTCTTTCTGCTTCTCTTCCTTTTCCTCCTTTTCCTCTTCCTCTTCCTCTGCCTCCACCCTAGTGAGAGAAAGATGAACATTTTGGAACCCATATTTTATATATATCCTAAAAACTACCACCTTTCGTTTCCTCCAGATGCCAATGCCACGGCCATCGTCGGTTGCGGGTGCTTGCTCGGCAAGTCTTCTCATCTGATGCCAAACCCAGTGCTTGTCTCAAGTCAGCCATGGATAAACTCTGTGACCCAGTCAAGGGAACCATTTGCCATTGGTCAGAGGTAAGGTTGTCTCTGTCTTTATTCTTCCTTCTTTTTATTCTCATCTTTGTCCACCTATCTTGTTTTTAAACTTCCATGCAATTTGATCCATTTCTTCATCTTCTGCCATAGTTAGGATATTGATGTTGTTTCGATTTTCCTATTTTCCATTTGTGTATACTTCTACAACTGTAATTTTCTAATAGAGTTTATATACGAATATTTGGAGAAAAGGCAGGAAAAAAAATTGGCCTGGGAATATTGCCCCATCGGCTGTGCTACTGGTAACTCTAACTAGCACACATGATAAATAAAAACACCAATGCCCACATTTCCACCCCCTTTTCTTACTGAATAACTTGTAGTTGGTAAAAGCAATAGCAATGATAGCTCTATTTTGTCTAAACTCATTGTCAACAACTTTACTCCTCTTGAACAGCACATAGTAAACAGCCTAGAGGACTCTGGTCCGCTCAGCAATGACGTTACCGAGTTGTTGTTACCTGCTTGGCGAGACCTGGTGGTAGTGATGGTAGCTAGGGCCAAGTCCTGGCTGGCCGACAAGCAGAAAGTAAGTGGCAGTTACTCATGAATAACATTATTTCTTCGAGTTCATGTTAGTTATTAATTATTATTGATTGTTATCATGGTAGGGAGATCATTGGGGACTTTACAGTCAGCTTACCCTGAGATATATCCTAGAATGAAGATTTGTGTGGAAATCTAAGGCAGATCTACTTAATAATCTCTTGTCTTGTGCTTTCTTCCCATTTTATGATACTCTTTCTTGCAGGTAAGCATAGCAAGTGACATTCTGCACGCCCTATTGAATCAGCTGGAGAAAGAGTCCATGGATGAAAAGCTGGCTCTCCTCCTGGCCGAATTGTACCTGGCTCTAGTCAAACATTGTGGGAAGTAAGTGCAGAAAATTGATATTAGTTGTAAGTAAGTGTAGTAAGTCATAAGTTGTACATAGTTCCAGTAAGTATATTTTAGAAATGGCATTATTAAGCTGTAAGATTTACTTGGTTCATTTAAATTATAAGCTGTAATGGGCACTAGTTGTAAACTATGCTAGGCTCTGGTGAATTGTAAAATTGTAAAATGGATCTGGATACAGGAAACTGGAAGTTGTAAGTTGTACCTAGTACAAATATGCTGAAAGATGTACTTGTTAAGTTATACCTGGTTCTAGTAAACTGCAAGTTGAACCAAACCCTAGTCAAATATGGTGGAAGCAAGCACAGGAGTGAGTGAATATTACTTTTGACAGTGATAAGAGAGGAGTGATGGGAGAGTGAGAGAGTGAGTTGAAAGAGTGGGATAAAATAATATATATCATTAGGAAAAGTATCTTACTGTTAGATTTGCTTGTGATGGTGTGATCATTGATGAACGGATCAATATTTACCAGCACCCTATGCATTATTATGGAGATTGAGATCTTACAGATGTCTACTGTCTACTGCATTTTTTTGTGAATTTTATTTACATGTAGATGGCTCAGTCACCAAGTGCGTATTATTACTACTATTATTAATTGTATTATCATTGATTTAATTTCTTGTTGTTACGATAATTATTGACCATATGATTATCATGATATTAACATTACAACTACTAATGAAAAAATAAAAGCAAAAATCCCCAAACATCAAGAAAAAAGTAAACAAGTAAGACCACATTGGCCTAGAATATGACACCCATGGTAACTAATCACTTCTGGAGCCATCATGTGCATAAACAAAATTAATGAACAAAATCACAGTGAGCGTGGCATGTAGTACATACCCTCCGTGCATCAGTGAATAGTTCATTCATGTGCTTGCCTTTTTACAACAGCGAGTTCATTGTTTTCATCCTTTGTTTGTGTTTTACGTATGTTAAGTTGCTGTATATTGGTGTTTTTGTTGGTTAATTTTTTGAATGGTTTTCATTATGTAGATGTTTTATTTTGTTTCATGTTTGTATGTATGTATGTATGTATTTATGTATGTATGTATTAATATCAGATTTGACTTAAGTGCACTGCAGGTGTGAAATCTTATTGTTTATGTGTATGCCAATATTTAAGTGCAGTAGATCTAGAAATGTACAGTTGTTTTTAGATTTTATTTTTATTTTTAGATTGATTTTTTTGATCTTCCAAACCTTCCTCACAATATACTTCCCCTTACAGAAACCTCATCGAAAAAGAGGACTGCTTCAAGGGCGTGGGCAGACTGTTGGTCAAGGTGCAGGAGGCAGTAATGACGACACCTACACACTCCCAGATGCTCATCCTTGGGGCAGCCCTCAGGATGGTCAAGCTCACAGAACCATCGGCACAGTCCCAAGGTAGGGGTGGTACTGACATGGAGGGTGGGGGGTACTATTAGCACCAACATGATAAGTTTATAAGGGAAAAAGAAAATGTTTTGTCACTTTTAATATTATTAGTATAGCAACATACAACATCCAGAACTAGTCCATATAAAGAGCATCTTCTGGCATAACTTGTGAATTTTTTATGTTAAGGGGTCAAACTTGTGCTTGTTAGGCACAAAAAAGATAAATAGACATGCCAATCCACTGAAAAGGGTACTCTTCACAAGATAAGTGCCAAAAAACAAAAACAGAACATGCCATTTATGATTTATTGTCTCGAATGACATCAAAATTATCTATGTATCTGTTTCTCTTATTCTGTGTTTATGCAAGGATTTAGTTATGGTATATAACCATATTGTAAATGTAAGGGGACTTCATGATGAGGATGCTAAGTATGCAAGTGTACTTTAGTTCTATGCCATGTTCAAGTGTAAAGGATTACATTGCGATCTATTTTTCATACCAAATATCTGTCTCATTGTATTGAATTGCAGTATGATCATATTTTAGCTTTTGCCTCAAAAAAGAAAGAAAAATCTGAAATTACTTCTAATTGAAGACACAATGAAATGCCAAAGGTGTTCAAAGTAATGCTGGGCTAGCTGAAGGTATCGCATGTTCTGTAAACCAAATTTACGAGTGTCTGAATTTAGCATTCACATTGTCACAATATGATTTTTCTCTTCATATGGATTTCTGAACTGTTCCCTCCTACTCTGCTTATAAACTTGCTCTACATGGATAACATCATATTTAAAAAGATACGAAAAAGATACAGATAGATAGATAAAAAAAACTCCAAAATAAGCAGAATTTTCAGTAATCATTATCACTTTCCATCCTTCTCCAGGCCAAGCACTCGCACTTCTGGGCCCTGTGACGTGGCTGGTGCAGCAACATGGGCGGCTGGCGGGCTCCTCTTCCTCCTCCTCCTCCTCCTCAGCGTCTTCCTGCACAACAGCTGCTACTTTGAGCCTGGCTGCAGCGCTCCTCCACCAGTGCCTGTTGCGCTGTGCCCCCGATGGTGCGCGACCCTTCCTGGCCCACACGCCCGTTGTTCCAGCACTGCTGCATGCCGTTGAGACCTACATGCAGGTACGAGTCTATACTGTGTTTGTCCTGTTTTGGATTTCTATATTTCATTCTTTCGTTCATGATATTTCCTTTTATTTTCTTTTATTTCCATCAAATGATTTTTCAGCCTTTTTCTTTTCTTTTTTACTTTTTTCTGTTTGATCTCATCTTTGTTGTACAGCACAACCTGTACCTTTCTACCCAACATATATTAAGAAAGTAAGTTGGCCAGACTTAATCAAGGACCACCATGCAAGAACTATTTATTTGATCATATGAATGTACAAACAAATTTTGCGTAATTTTTTTTGTTTTGATGTACATGTGTGTATGTATGTGTTCGTGTTATTATCCTTTAGTTCATGCAAAGGATTACAGAGAGTATTATCATTGCTACATTCACCTGAATTATTCCAATATAAATCATCCTTTGATTTTCAGTCTTTATCTTATGCCTCAAAGCACTGTTGCACACACAGACTCACTCACTCACACAATGAATGTATTATTTATTATTAAAGTATGGTATATTATGTAAAATTTAATCCTAATGAATATTATTACTAATAATGAAAAGGAATTGGTAAGAGGAGCTAACCATCTGTTGCTTACTATATTTTTATATCTTTCTTAACGTTTATATTTCTTGTTTTCCACTCTGCTCTCTGAATTATTCACTCTGCTTAATTATCCATTTCCCTTCCCAGTGCGGTGAAGAAGAAGTAGTGGGGGAGCTGCTTCGGCTGCTGTCAACACTGTCCAGGGTCGCCGAGCTGTCCGATGACCTTTCCACACAGACACTCTCGTCCACACTTACGCTCACGATTCCCCCATCTAAGGTATGAAGGATTTGTATATGGTTTTAGTTTGTTTTTTATTCTTCTTTTTTTCTAATACTGTTTTATGAATTTGCTTGTTTATATTTTGTCAAGGAGTTATATTGTAGATAGTGTTGTTATTATCCTCACAGCAATTTTTGATTCTCAGATGCTCTTTCAAATGTTTTACCAAGTAGTTATTCTCTCAGATATTTTTCAAGCAGCTCCTCTACCTATCAGTTACCTCATCAGGCAGTGTGTACTCTCATTGTTTTGTGTGTGTGTGTGTGTGTGTGTGTGTGGTGTGTGTGTGTGGTTGGGGGGTGTGTTGTTTTTTGTTTTTTTTTTTAAGGTTAACTTACTAGCATTTCAGGGAAATGTGATGACCAGCAATATGGGTTCAGGTTAAACAGCTGAGGCAAAAGAGGAGCAGTATTATGGAAGGATTGAATGGACACATGAGAATGTAGTTGTGATAGAGATAGATACTCTCTAGATTAGATCGAGATAAAGACACTTATGTATATTTTTAAGATGGTTGAATTATATTTTGTTAATGTATGTTCATATATTTACCAACCAGACCGGCCTATTGAGTGAGGTGGTGTGGGGTGTGGTGTGGGGCGTGCGTCGTGAGGGCGTTGGTGGTGTGGAGGGTGGCGTGAATGTAGCAGCAGTTCACCTAGGGGCTCTGTGTGGGGCCCTTGGTGCACCCCACCGACAGCCTGCCCTTGCCCTCGCTAGCGCCGCCCTTGTGTCAGTACTGGCCCCCTATGCCTCAATGTGGATTGTCACCCATCCAGCCTCCTACTCGCAGCTCACTGCTGCCACTACGCGTTGCATTCACATCACGACACAACTGCTCCATACACCCAGGGGTGAGAGAGGACCAGGTCTGCTGGAGTGTGGTCATTAAGCATGTTGTATCAGTAATGGGATGGGATAATTGTTGATAGGATATGCACTATTTCCAATGACATCGATATTTGTATTAATGATAATAGTAACGTTAAGTATAAGGAAATAATGAAATACTGTTCACATGAAACATTGAACACGAAAGATATGACTTGGGACACCGGCAGGTTGTTGAGATGGAGCTGAGTGGAGGAAGAAGCAGCAGCAGTAGCGGAGGGAGCACGGAGGCACCTGCCATTGCACCGCAGATAACAGCCGCCACGACTGATGTCCTCAATGGCATGCTGCAGGTAGGTAATAGGGTGACCTAGCTGGAGGGCAATGATGGGGGGGAAAGTGAGAGGGTGTAGGAGGTGAAAAGAGAGAAGGAGAGGGAGTGAGAAAGATGGATGTGATGGGAGATAAGGAGGAGGCTTCTCTTCCCTTATTAGGAGGAAAGGAGTAGTGGGGAATCACTTATTCTCCTTTGAGATGCGACGGATCATGTTTCCTATGCCGCTAATGATCTTAGCAGTTGGTGCGGCAGGTAATTTTGAGTAATCAATCATGTCTACTAACTGACAGAATATTGATATATCAGTAAAAATTTTAAAAACCTGCTCATAATTGTAAAAACTGACAAATTCTCATATTCCTTCCATTTATATATATTTTTTCTTTCTTTTTTTTTTTGTACTTACTGAAATTAAACTTGTCCTATGCTTCCATAGAACTTTTAGCACATTCTGCTGATGTCTTTTACAGGTTGTGTGTGCGTGCTTGAGTGCCCTCATTGCTCTAGGACCTGATCTGACCGATTTGCTCTGTGGACCTGGCATTGACGTGGGTGCATGGACATTATTCTTCCACCCTTCATTCCGCCCTGTAACTGCCCTTGACCCGAATGCTCAGCCCAGCTTGGCATCTCTCACCTCTGTACTGGATCTCTATGACAGCCATGCATCAAAGGTAAGTACTGTGTGTATCATGTTTTTTTCTCTCTCTTTCTTTCGTTTTTCACTTTCGTCTTGGCTTTTTTTTGTGTGTTCCTTAATTATCAGTCCTTGTCCTCTCTCCCTTCCCCTCTCTTACCTTCCTTCCCCACACCTACTCACTCACTCCACTCACACATTCACTCACTCCCTCACTCACTCACTCACTCACTCACTCACTCACACACTCACTCCATTTCTCATTTCCACCATTCTTTTCTTCCATTTTCTTCACCCCATCTTCCTCCCTGTATCTTCCTAGCTTCTCAGTTCTCGTACACCAACCTAAATCGCCAATCCATTCCTTCAGGAGAGCCGAGGACTGTCACCATGCCGTGGGGGAGCGCCAGAGGTTGGGCTGTGCATACAAGTCTTAGCAGCATCTGCAGAAAAGGCACTTCTGCTGCTACTCACCCAAGCCACACTGGCCCTCATGCGGCCGGAAACACCCCCGAGGGATAGCCTGCGTGTGCGCCATGGCCTTGCTGATGAGATGGTAAGTCACTGTTCCTCGCATGCAAAAGATTACAGAGTCGTCTTTGTCTTCTTCCTCTGCCTTCACACCATTTTTCTTTTCTTTTTAATTTTTTTCATTAGCTTTATTATTATTATTCTGTTTTATCACTTATGCATCTTATATCCCTTTATATCTTCCTCTCTTTTCTTTCTGTCTGTCGCTTGGCTTATTTTTTTTCTTATCATTATTATCCCATTGACGTATTTTCACCTATCCTATTTTTCTTTTGTACTTTTATTATGCTTTGTAGAGGTTCTAGCAATGAATACATTTATAGTCGTTATTTGCAGATCTCTTCAGTGATTTCATTTACCATAAGAGAACGGTGCAATTTAAAGAAGTGATATAGGTTTATCATCAGTTCTTATTCAGCCCAAATAAGATGTAACCATTACTTAGTGTACCCATAATCAGGCTAATGAGTAAGGAACTAAGGCATATTGTCCTCATCTTCAACCTGTTCTTCTACCTCTTCCTCCTCCTCTTCCTCCCCACCTTCTCCTGTCTCTCCTCCCCCTCCTTCTACCTTCTCCTTCTCCTCCTCCTCCTCTTCCTCCCCACCTTCTCCTGTCTCTCCTCCCCCTCCTTCTACCTTCTTTTTCTCCTCCTCCTCCTCCTCCTCCTCCTCTTCCTTCCCACCTTCTCCTGTCTCTCCTCCCCTCCTTCTATCTCCTCTTCTCTTTCTCTCCTCCTCCTCCTCCTCCTCCTCCTCCCTCCTCCTCCTCCTCCTCCTCCTCCTCCTCCTCCTCCTCCCTCCTCCTCTCCTCCTCTCTCTCCTCCTCCTCCTCCTCTCTCCTCCCACCTTCTGTATCTCCTCCTCCTTCTATCCTCCCTCCCTCCTCCTCCTCCCTCCTCCTCCTCCTCCTCCTCCTCCTCCTCCTCCTCCTCCTCCTCTTCCTCCCCACCTCTTGTATCTCCTGTATCTCCTCCTCCTCCTTCCTCCTCCTCCTCCTCCTCCTGTCTCCTCCTCCCTCCCCCTACTCCACTCCTCATCCTGTTCCTCCTTTTCCACCTCCTCCCGTATCTTCTCACTCACCTCCCCTCATCCTCTTTGTTCTCTTGTATTGCCACAGAATTCCTTCTTCACCCGATGGCTAGGGAGGCGTCCAGCTGCGTCACCTCTTCCAAGCAGCAGTTCGACGGCCTCAGGGACCAGCTGCACTGCCCAGGTTGACCTCACGTACCTACGGCTTGCCCAGCAGCTGGTAGCGAGGCTTGCTTCCAATAAGTGATTTGCAAGTGTGCATAGATATATATACATGATTCATGCATGTTTAGATAATATTTTGACTTTAAAAATGCGTCAGTGCACCGTGACAAGAGTGAGAGAAATTAATGGATAAAAAGATGATGTGATGTGATGACTCTGAAGTTCATTTTCTTTTGGACTTAAATTTTTCAATGAGATATTTTTATGGTATCTTATATCTTGTGTTGAGGATGCAAGATGGGGATGATTTGCATTGTTATTATTAACTTTATTATTATTGTTAGTATCCTTATGATTTTTGTTTATTATTATTATATATATTTTTATATGTATTTTTTCTATTATTTTTCAATGTTTTTTATAAAAGTTTCCTAACCGGTTTCACAAGAAGTAATCCCAGTCTTTCAGCCCAATCAATATTTTCTAGTTTATATGTTGTATTGTGGTTTCTGTTGCTTAGTGTGTTTTTGTACATTTTAATGAAAATATTGAATAAAGTTAAAACATTTTC